CTGAAGTAAAGATGTCAAAACACAATAAATGTAGACATAAAAAAATTGCCCAGATGGACCCAGATGCTCCTTTGATTGCGCAAGGTAGTGTTAATCAATCCAAAAAATAGATCATGCACTTGCGGGAATAATACTTATTTATTTATTTATTTATTTATTTGATTTGTCAATTGTTTACAAGATAATAAGTACAAGTGTATACATAGTTGTAAATATATGAAATGGGTACATATAAGAAAAATAAAAGAATAAGAGAAACAATAGGACAGGGACGGTAGGCACGTTGGTGCGCTTATGCACGCCCCCTACAGACCTCTTAGGAAAGGGGTGAGGTCAATAGTAGACAGTCTAAGGTTAAAGTTTTTGGGGTTTGGGGAAGAGACTACAGAGTCGGGTAGAGTATTCCAGACATTGACCACTCTATTGCTGAAGTCGTATTTCCTGCAATCAAGTTTGGTGCGGTTTACTTTGAGTTTGTATCTGTTGTGTGCTCTTGTGTTGTTATGGTTAAAGCTGAAGTATTCATTGACAGGTAGGACATTGCAATGTATGATTTTATATACCATGCTTAAGTCGGACCGAAGACGGCGTAATTCGAGGTTTTCTAGTTTTAGAATTTCGAGTCTGGTGGCGTAAGGTATTCTACAACGGGTAGAAGAGTGGAGAACTCTTCTTGTGAAATACTTCTGGACTTTCTCAATTGTGTTAATATCACATACGTGATAAGGATTCCAGACTGATGAACTGTATTCGAGTATTGGTCTAGCAAATGTTTTGTATGCTCTGGTTAGTAGTGAGATATTACCAGAGAAAAAGCAACGTAGGATTAGGTTAACAACTCTTAATGCCTTTTTGGCTATGTAGTTGCAGTGAGCTCTAGCACTTAGATCATTAGAGGTGAGTATTCCCAGGTCCTTTACAGAGCTTGGGTCATCAACAAGATCTTGACTATTCAGCTTGTATTTTATTTTCTGATTTTTTTTACCAATATGTAAGACAGAGCATTTATTTGTTGAGATTTGGAGTTGCCATATGTTAGACCATTCAGATACATAGTCTAGATCTTTTTGAAGGGTAGTTATATTGTCTGTGGTATTGAACAGCTTTACATCATCAGCGAAGAGAACGCAATTGCTCTTGATATGATCACAAAGGTCGTTTATGTAGATTATGAAGAGAGTTGGTCCTAGAACACTGCCTTGGGGAACACCACTATTGACAGGTACTGGATTTGATAGGGCGTTCCCAATTTTGACCATTTGTTGTCTGTTTGACAGGAATGCTTCTATCCAGTTATTCAGTTGTCCAGAGATACCATAAGATTTTATTTTTAGGAGTAGTTTGTCATGTACCACTGAATCAAAGGCTTTGCAGAAGTCTATGTAGATTGCGTCTATTGCTTTGCCCTGGTCGAGTTGTGTCGTCCATATGTTTTTGCAGTGTAAGAGTTGCAGATTACAGGATAGTTTTTTTCTGAAACCAAATTGTTTATTGGAGAGTAGGTTGTTTGTCTCTAAATGGAGGATGATGGATTGGTTAATAATTGATTCCATGACTTTACAGGTGACGCAGCATAAGGAGATTGGTCTGTAATTTTCAACTAGGCTTGGGTCTCCCTTTTTGAAGATGGGAATGACTGTGGCTTGTAACCATAGGTTGGGCAAGGAGCTGGTTCTGAAAGATTTTTCAAAGATTATGCTTAGAGGTTTGGCTATGGCAGCGGATAGTTTTCTTAAGAAGTAGGCACATATTCCATCCGGTCCAATAGATAGAGATGGTTTTAGGTTGCGTAGTGCTTTTTCAACGTTGTCTACTGTAAAATCGATATGTATTAGATCATTATTGTTGTTTGTGGTACGGCTAGGAAACATTGGGCATGATCCATTACTGTTTACAAACACTGAGCCGAAGAATGTGTTAAAGATGTTGGCTTTAATGGTGTCGTCGCTGCAGTCTTTACCATCAGGTCCTATCAAGGGAGGGATGGACCTTGAGTCTTTTAGTTTGTTGTTTACAAAATTGTAAAAAGCACGGGTGGAATTGGTGCTTAGAAGGTTTTCCTCTTGTTTAATGTGGTAATTGGTGCATTCGGTCTTTATCTGGTGGCATAAATTTTTGTATCGGTTTTTGAAATTAGCAACGTGACCAGATTTGTTTTTCCGCCAGAGTGATCTCTTTTTGGATTGAAGTTTCCTTATTGATATGGGTAATCTGCTTTTTTGTTTTGTTTTTGGAGTTGTTGTTGGAACATATAGTTTGATGACTCTTTTGACTTCAAGTAAAAATATGTTGTAATGGTCTTCAACAGTATTGCATCCAGTGAATAGAGATTGCCAATCGAGGGATGAGAGATCGTTATCTATAAGATCATAGTTGCCTTTTTTGAAGTTACAACTAGGGAAGATATTGCTGACAATAACATTTCTTTTCTATATTGTAGTTCCATCTACTTCCTGTCTGATTGTTGTGTTGATGTACATACATATGTACATGATATTTGTTTTCTTAAGTTTTCGCGGGTATCTATACAGAAGCCTGATGATGGCAAATGAGATTCTGCCGAAATATCGCTACAACTTTAAAAGCACAACTATAATGATGTGGGAAAATACCCGAACAAAGCTGAATACCATACATATGTACATGATATGTGTGTGTGTGTGTGTGTGTGTGTGTGTGTGTGTGTGTGTGTGTGTATCACACATGGGAATGTATCACATGTGGGAATGCTTATGGCATCTGTTGACATTATTGTTGTAAGAAAATGACCAATCAATACTTCTCTAGCATATACTCATAATAAATTCAGACTTTAGTTCAGGTTTCATCCCTTATTAAGTCTATCTCCAATGGGAATCATTCCAGAAATAAGAGTAACATCAGCCACTGGCATTTTCCAGAGTTTCTTCTTTCCCATAAGTATGTGGATGAGATAGTGATTTGTTGAAAAGAAGAATGATTGATATAAAAGGATGATATCAATTATTGTTACATTGAATTATAAACTAAAGGAAACCCATTTCTTTGACATTAATGTTTTGAATGAACTTTTTATCTCTTCATTCCTCAAGCTGTAAATGATGGGATTCAAGCTTGGGGTCACTACTGTATAAAGCAGGGCAAGGATCCTGTTATCATCCTTAGAAGATGCTGAATTGGGATGAATGTAGGCAACAATGATGGTTCCAAAGAAAATGAAAACAACAATGAGGTGTGAGGAACAAGTGGAAAATGCTTTGTACCTGTTCGTGGCCACTGGCATTGTGAGAATAGTGGATATGATGAAGATGTAGGAAAAGACAATGAGTAAAAGGGGAACCAGGCCAAATACCACAGTTAGTATGGCATTGGCCACTTCGTTTTTGTAAGTATTGATTGAAGTCAGTGTCAGAACAGGCATAAGATCACAGAAGAAATGGCTGATTCTGTTTGACCCACAGAAGGGAAGGGTGAAGATTGAAACAGATTCCCCTAAACATACGGAAATTCCAAAGATCCATGAGATGGCAGCTAGGGTCGCACATTTCTTGTACCTCATGATAGAGGGGTATTGCAAGGGCTTGCAAATGGCAACATAACGGTCATACGCCATAGCACAAAGAAGACAACACTCAGTGACACTAAAGAGAAGAAAGCAGCACATTTGACATCCACAGCCCCAAAAGGATATAGTCTGGTTTTCTGAGAGCAAAATCATTAACATCTTTGGACTGATGGATGAGGTGTAGCCAATTTCCAAAAAGGACAAGTTCCAGAGGAAGAAGTACATTGGGGTGTGAAGGGTGGGACTGGCAATGGTGACGAGTAAAACCAGGCTATTGCCCATCAAGGCTATGAGGTAAAATATTAGAACCAGACAAAACAGAAGTTCTTCCATAGACTTGAAATCTGAGAAGCCGAGCAGGAGAAACTCAGTCAAACAGGACTGGTTATCTTTCTTCATGGTATCATACCACATAGTAACCTCAAAAGAGAAAGGGAACATTGAATAATTAAAAAATTCCTCTAAAGCATTATTAACATTGTATTCCTTTCTCCAGTTAGATACCTGTATCCTGCTTTCTTTGTATTACTGTACAAAGTAAATAGTAATATGGATTAAATCCTTGGAAATAGAAAAGGAAGCATGAATTTTTTATTTAATGTCCTGTAAATTCATTTGTGTTTTTTTCAACTTAGTGAATCACATAATCACTCTAGGATCTTTTCCCAGAACCGAATTGTCTTCAAGCTCTCAATTTGGTCCCTCAAATCTCTGTGTTCATTTTTTTAATTGGTTAGTCTAGCATATGATAGTTTCTATTAATTTAGGGGTTTTTTTAAATAATGAAAATTTAGGCTGTCATAAATATTGTTACACATTTCCTTTGAAGTACATCCTTTCTATATCTGAAAATTTGCACTAGTATTCCAAATAGAAGTCCCTTCAGATTTTATTCCGCTAGTCATTGCTGACTGTAGGGAGCAGTACTCATGTCCATTTCAAGACCATTGAGCCAACACTATCCGAAAATTTTCCAGCATGACGTCACAGAGTGCAGTTACCTTCCCACCAAAGTAGTACATATTTATCTACTTGTCTTTGCATGTTCTCGAACTGCTAAGTGGACAGGAGCTGGGGCAAGAAACGGGAGCTCACCCCATTGGGTGGCGCCTGGGTCTCAAACCTGGGCTGCCAGCTTTCCAGCCAAGAAGCTCAGCATCTTTAAACACTGAACCACTGCACCACTCCTAGTATTCCAACTAGAAAATAAAAATGCTAATGGGTTAAGGCATCAGGCTGGAAACCAGGAGTTGTAGTTCCCTCCAAGGCACAAAGACAGCTGGGTGACCTTGGGCCTGTCATTTTCTCTCAGCTCTATGAAAGAGACAAGGACAAATCACTTCTGAAAAATCTTGCAAAGAAAACTGAAGAGATTTGTCCAGGAAGTGTCTGGGAATCAGAAAAGGTTGAACAGAAGGGAGGAAAAAATAGGGGAAGGATTGGAGATTGGAGAAAAGTGGCTTAGATCAAAAGACACTTAATTTCCCACTAGCTACCACTTTGTTTCCATCTTGTATAACATCAGTGATCAGTCATGCCTCTAACATATTGAATTCTCTTTTCCATCTAGTCAGACCAACAAAATGTACAACTTTAAGCATGATGTGTCCCAGGCTCAAAATTCTTAAATGTTAAAGCATCACTGTAAAGCTGACAATAACACTTCGTTAAAGTTCCACTGAATATCCTTTGAAAATAAAACTTCATAAAAAGTTGCATAAAGTGAAAAACCTACGTAGTTATAAAATATAATCTTACTTTGTCAAACCTTTTCTGATTAGTTTTAGAGATGGGACATTTCTTCTTAAGGAAAGGCTAAATAGTGTAATATTCGCTGGCAATGTAAGAATCTGAAGATTCCTCTACCATAGAAGAATCTTCATATAGTCTTTCCTCTGGAAAACAAATGGTTGATATTATGGAGGCTATTTATCTCAAATATGGCCACTGGATCCTAGCGGATTCAAACCTCCAAAGAGACTGGAGAACTTTTCTCTAATAAGGTCTCATGACAGAAGCCCAAGGACTCATCCTGGGGATTTGGTAAAAGTATACTAGAGGACAACTTGAACCAGAAGGAAGAACTTCTTGGTCTTCCTGAAAGCCTTGAAAAACCTTGTTCTTCCCTCATCCTCAGGGACAGGATCTTAGTAGATCCTCAAATGGGGATTTTGTATTATATTGTAGCGAGCCTCAATTTTTTTAAATTGCTGTTGCTTTTAATTTTTATACTGTATTAGCTATTCATTTATTTGGTTAAGATGGGTAGCTACGTCCATTTGACAAATAAATAAATAGCATTAGCACTTAGACTTCTGTACCACTTCACCGTGTTTTACAGTCCTCTCTAGGAAGTTTACAGAGTCAGCATATTGCCCCCAACAATCTGGGTTGTCATTTTACCAACCTTGGAAGGATGGAAGGCTGAGTCAACCTTGAGCCAGTGAGACTTGAACTGCTGAACTGCTGGCAGCCAGCAGTCAGCAGAATTAGCCTGCAATGCTGCATTCTAACCATTGTGCCACCATGGTTCCTAAATGAAATGTTATCAAAATTAGCAAAGCATTTTCTTGTTCACATGACAAAAATATTATGTGAACTATACAAGGATCTCAAACAGTCAGTGGCAAAGGCAAATAGTTAGCTCTTG